GTGTATGGCCACCTTTAGTGTGCGTATTTATTATGATTTTATTCCACTCACTGTTCCAATAATGACCCAGGGTGGGGTGGGGTGGGTTGGGGTTCCATCTGCAGGCTGGAGAGCTTTGTTTGCTAACAAACTTCTCCAGCTTGCACGTGATCACTATTATTGATCTGTCAGTGTACTTGGTAGTCTGAGGCCTTCCTATTCCTCACACAGGTCAATGTTCTCACATTATGGGGAAATACTGTAACTGACCACCCAAAGCGGACAGCAAACATGAGTTGGGACTTATAAGAAGGAGCTCTCTCTCTCTCACCGTTGGAGTACTGAAAACAGATAGTCCAGGGGCCGGTCCAGGCACAGCGTAGATATAAACTTCTGAACGTTGAACACACACCGTGAAGTATTCCAGAATATCCAACGTTCTCCCCCAATACACGCACATTCCAGGCAGACGGAAACCGCCAACCGTGTGATTTCTCATTTCCCCAAGATGTAATAATGATCTTACTGTGATACTAAAAGGGCCCCCACCCCCCCAAATGGTCCTGGAGAGCCCACTTCCATTGGATAGAATACACGTCATGTGACTACCTGGACACATTTCACCTTCTCACTCCAACCTAACCTCCTATAACACTCTCTATGCCATAGGGCGCCTCCTTTTTGAAGCCTATCTCCAGCTTCTGGGTCTTTTTTTTGGAACAGGACCTACTCCCACTCCAGAGCAGACCCCCAACTCCATCTCCTTCCAGTGCGAGCCCAGGCCATCATGGACCTGCCCCCTGGAGGGGACCCGAGGACATCAGAAGACCAGCAGGAGGACTCCTTTGGTATCGGAAGTTGGCCATCGAAGGGAATTATTTTATATTTTCCTTTTTTGGTTATTTTAAGAACTTTAACATAAAATTTGGAGCTGTTGCAGGTGAATATCTCATATTACAGGGAATGTATAGCAGGCTTTCCTTATTTATTGTGGTCAGGAACACGGGGAGTAAAACACTGTATATCAGGTCATCTTCTGTCCATGCCAATGGGGCTCTGAGGTCCTCTTCACATATTCATTTGTGCTCTATGATGTCCTCACGGCGTGGTCTCCTCCCTTATCAGAGGTCTCAGTGTGACATTTCATCTAAGGGGATCTGCAAAGCAATCTGCTCTGCTGTCTCTTTAGAACACCCCACAGTGCTCTGGGAATCCTTTGCAGTTGTTGATGTGAATAGATTTGGAAACATATAGAAAACAGCTAGCTCAATTTTTTATTTGCTTCCCACATCCAAAAAGGACTACTACCCCCTACACATTCTAGGGTGCCCTCTGTATTCTCCTTCGCTGCTGGACCTTAAGTCCAAAGAGTCATGGACATCTCCCCACCCCGGGTTTAGTGTCATTATGTTGGCCTGGAGAGCACTACAAGGATGAATGTCTGCAGGCAACAGTGACGCATGGTAGAGGTTCCTGGCAGGTTTGGGGGGACACTTTTCTGCACATAGGTTTGGACAGAATTAATGGTCTCCTCAATGTAGAGCTTGACATCCATTATGCAATACCATCAGGGAGGAGTCTGATCACAGATTCATTCTGCAGCAGGACAATGACCCTAAATATACAGCCAATGTCATAAATATCATCAGTGAGCAGAAGCACAAGGGGGTGCGGCATAGATAATATGGCCACCACAGAGCTTCAATCTCCGGAGGAGATGGCATGGACCCTACAGAGCCCTGATCTCTGGAGGAAATTGTATGGACCCCACAGAGCCCTGATCTCTGGAAGAGATGGTATGGCCACCACAGAGCCCTGATCTCTGGAAGAGATGGCATGGTCACCACAGAGCCCTGATCTCTGGAGGAGATGGTATGGTCCCCACAGAGCCCCAATATAAGGAGACAATTGTATGGACCCCACAGAGCCCTGATCTCTGAAAGTGATGGTATGGACCCCACTGAGCCCTAATCTCTGGAAGTGATGGTATGGACCCCACAGAGCCCTGATCTCTATAAGGGATGGTATGACCCCTACAGAGCCCTGATCTCTGGAGGAGATGGAATGGTCCGCACAGAGCCCCAATCTAAGGAGACAATGGTATGGACCCCACAGAGCCCTGATCTCTGAAAGAGATGGTATGGTCACCACAGAGCCCTGATCTCTGGAGGAGATGGTATGGTCACCACAGAGCCCCAATATAAGGAGACAATGGTATGGCCCCCATAGAGCCGAGATCTCTGAAAGTGATGGTATGGACCCCACTGAGCCCTAATCTCTGGAAGTGATGGTATGGACCCCACTGAGCCCTAATCTCTGGAAGTGATGGTATGGACCCCACAGAGCCCTGATCTCTATAAGGGATGGTATGACCCCTACAGAGCCCTGATCTCTGGAGGAGATGGAATGGTCCGCACAGAGCCCCAATCTAAGGAGACAATGGTATGGACCCCACAGAGCCCTGATCTCTGAAAGAGATGGTATGGACCCCACAGAGCCCCAATATAAGGAGACAATGGTATGGCCCCCATAGAGCCCAGATCTGTTGAAGAGATGGTATGACAACCATAGAGTTGAGATCTCTGGAAGATGGATCACTGGAGTCTGTCTGGGATTACACAAAGAGACAGGAGCAACTGAGACATCCTAAAACCACAGTTCTGTCCTTGGTTGTCCCAAACATCAGGGATAACTATCTGCCGAGTTTGGTTTCTTGTACGAGGCCCTATGGTTTCTAGTTAGGCCTCTGCCGGGAAGTATTAAGTTCCTTAAAATAAAATAAACACAGCTGTGTCAGCTGTGTGAACGAGGCCTCAGATTATATACCGTCCTGAGGACAGAAAATAGTGAAGCCGTTGGATCGCCATGCCAGCCGGGAAATCAGGATTTAGCAAAGGAGGTGTGAACAATGCCAGCCTCCCTCGATGGGTCTCCTGTACGGACGGATCATACCAGGTGGAAATGGGTCGAAGGGCCAGGATTTTACCCCACAAATGATGGCGACTTTAGTTACCAAGGTTACAGAACGCAGATGCGACTTTGAGCTCTGTACCCTTTTAGGGTTACACAGTGATAAGGTAGTCTGCGTCCTGATAACAGCGTTTGCTTTATCGTGACTGGATGCGTTTAATAAGACGCTTAGGTGAGAATAAAATGGCGGCATGCGCTGCAAACTTGTCGTTGCCCCCAATTGAAGGGACACTAGGCGACTGTAATTCAGGTTTTTGGCCTACATCAGACCCTCCTGTGCTCCACCGCTGTGTGGGCTGTTCAGCTCAGGCCGCAGCCGGGCCCAGGTGGAGGGGAGAGCATTAGGAGCACCTGGAGGATCGAGAACAATGAGCACGTGTTGCCAGGTCTGTGGGTGTACTAAGATGGCGGCCGCCCCGTCACAGCTACAGGGCTCCAACCCTCTCCAGGTCCTTCTCCGCCTCACACAGCCGGATACATCGTAGTAGAAGTCCGCTCCCCGTACGGCGGGTGTGAAATCCCACAACCGCTCGTTCCCAGCCGCGCTTGATGGAGCGTAGGGTGTCAGCGAGAGTACCAAGATGGCCGTCGATTCCCCCCAGAGTACCAAGATGGCGGAAGAGCGCTTCCAGAGACATCGGCCAAACTGCAGCGTGAGAGTCTTAACGTGACGGCGCTTCCGGCGCGGGAGGAGGCGTTACCATAGTGACCCGCTCGGTCGGCCTGTCAGGGCCGTGACGTCATTTCTCCGCGACGCCCGCCACCGACGACGCCAGAGAGGGGAGAGCGCCGAGACCCGGAGAGCCGGGAGAGGGATGAGAGGAGGAGCCGCCGGCCTGAGAGCCCCGACAGACTGTGCGGGAGAGCCAAAGACACCCCCTTCCCCTCCCCCACAGTATGCACCCTCTCCTCTTATTGCACCCCATTCCCCTCCCCCACTTTGTGTGTCTGCAGCCCTCTATACTGCACCCCCCCATTCTCCATAGTGTGTGTGCACCCGTCCGTG